CTATAAATCAAATTGCTGGCCATTTTCGACAAGAGTTAGAGGACATCAATGTTCACAGAAAAAAAAAGCCACTGTCACGCATGTAACCCAATTAAATATTTTTTTTTGATCTGTATCAAAATAGGCATATCACCTACTGAATGCACTAATCTTTCGGTCAAAAAAAAAAAAAAAGATTAAGCAGACAGTTTGAATAGAACAGAAGTTATTTTCCTCCAACTTGGCAAATGTGCCACAATTGCCGTTTTGATAAAAGGAGAAAAAAAACGTTTCAGAACTTTTATTAAAGAAATTAAAAAATACTAATAAAATCTTATGAAAATGCACCAGGGGCACAATCTGGATGCATCTCATCCTTATCCTTGATCAGCTTTCTCAGACTTTGGGACGCTTCTATTAGAGGTTGCACTCTGACGACAGTCCTTCTCCCTAGCCCTCAGGGATGTGCTGCTGAATATCGTGATGTCCAGCTGCTCGAGAATTGCAGCAAATGCATTGACATTGCCCACATTGCCCGTGTTGAAGCACAGCTTCTGCCGCAGCAGGTTGCACAGCAAAAAGAGAGGTGTGCTGCTCCTTTGACACCAAACAGCAAATCACGAATTGGAGGCTTTCGTGTGAATTCTGGGTCTTGCCTTGCTGCCGCACCACCCGACTCCGAAAAGCACTCAATTTTTCGCGCTGTTGACGACACCTGACGAAAAACTTTCAAGCGTTGTAGGTTGTCTTGTGGGTGCGCGCGTCGCGAACTTCCCTGGCATCCATCACATCAGCGTCTACCCGCACACGATCGGAGTTGATATAGCGTGCACTGTCAGAGGAAACCCGTGTCGATGTGCACTTCACCGTTGCTGATAGCATCGGCGCGGTCATAATTCACAGAGCGACCACTATCCGGGGAGGCCGTCTCGCACACTCTTCCATTGATAACATCTTCAGTACACGGGCAGCCAGCGTGCACGCCTTGAACACACAAGGAACAGTCTTCGGTTACGACGGCGTTACCGTGAACAACGAAAATGATGCTGCGATTGGAGCTTTTTCGCCCTGCTGGGCATAGCAAGATGCACAAACACGTTAGGAATATGAGTCACGACACCTTCGCATGGGCGATACCCTTCCAATGGCGGTGGACACTGCCAGCAAGTTTTCCTGGCCAATCGGGAAGCGCCATTTTGGTCACGTGCGTCAAGCAACCAATGGAATATCATGCGCTGTGCTGTGATTTTGACAAATTTTTTTTTTTGCTTTTGCGAGGGGCACATAGTTGTCTACTAGGAAAAGAAAAAAAGCTATAAACACAACCTTTCCAACAAGACCAAACTGGCGCTGGTAAAGCAGGTAGTTCGCATGCCGTCGGCAGTTGAAGTACGGCAAGTTGCTAGTTTATGCTTCAATTTGAAGGTCCGCTTTCGCGAAGTTGCTCTCTTTACGGGTTATAGCATGAGAAATAAGTGGAATTTCGAAGCCAAATTTTGCCGATAGGTGCGGAAGGGCTTCGGGAACGCAAAAATGATGAGAGAAAATGCGATATTTGGGCCGATTTTCGACTTCTAAGTGCCGCATCCTTCCTAAACAAACTCGGGGAAGCGCTCCTCGCGTAGCACAGTGCCATGATGACCGAAAAAATACCAGTGTCAGGTGACATCCTGAAGCAGAAGGCGGAGGTTTTTTTTTGCTTCGGATGAACGTGAGAGACTTCAAAGTTCAGTGATAGATAGCTTTGCAATTTGAAGAGCCGCAATGACCTGATGCGCGGCGCTGTCGACAATTCTGTAGTCTTCGAATATCAGAATGGAAGGTTGCAATCCATGCTTCAGCAGTTTCTACCATACAATATTTTTAACTATGACGAAATCGAACTGTTTCACAAGCTGCTGCCAGAGAAAATGCTTGAATTTGCTGGTGATCCCTGCCACGGTGGCAGGCATAGTAAGGAGCGGCTCACTGTCCTCGTTGGAAGCAACATGTCAGGTAGCGAGAAGTTTCAATTGCTTGTGATAGGGAAGTCGAAGCATCCAAGATGTTTCAAAAGGGCAGTGACTTTGCCTGTTCTCTACGAAGCCAATAAGTCGGCGTGGGTGACGCAGCAGCTATTCGAAGTACAATGCACAAGCAGGACAGACGGCTCGGGCAGCAACATTGAAAAGTTCCTTTGTGGATAACTGCGATGCCCATGGCCACATCAAGGACCTAAAGGCTGTACAGATTCAATTTATGCCACCAAACAACACAGCAATCTTGCAGCCAATGGAACAAGGCACGATGGACCAAGCATCTTTATAAATCGCGCGGGCTCAGCCGCATGTTGCTGTGCACCGACAGCAGGAAAAGCTACGCTGTTGACCTCAGGTCTGCTGTTGACATGCTTGCCGACTCGTGGAAGGCGGTTCCGCAAGAGACTCTTCGGAACTGTTTTCACCACACAGGTTTCACATTCGACGCAGAGATAGCCGCCTTGCCCGCAGAAGACTGCTTGTGTGACGAAATGTCATCCGTGGACTATGCCTTCGACGACTTGCGCGCTGCCGTCGCTTCAATGCCAGCCGGGATAACCTTTGATTGCTTCGCTAATGCTGACAAAGATCTCGAGCTGTGTGCGGAATCGACGGACGACGAAATCATTCATCAAGTTACGTAGGATTCTGCCGTTTATTTACCTTTCATTATTTAGAATTTTTTTAATTTGAACAAATTATTGGGCCCCTCTGAGTTTTAATTATTAAGATTCGACTGTACATTTTCATGGTCACGCGGATAACGTTAGTTTAAAGTGAAAGTTTGTTTTAAGTATATGCAATTATTCGTCTTAATGCAGATAATTGACGTACCCTATCCACACCTGTAAGGTATATTATGCGAACTTGGTTGACGCTGCGTTTAGGGTGATGACAATCAAGAATGACGGCAGAACACTTTGCAGCAAGTGGAAATCACAAGCTCGTGTGATGGATGGCTGGTGATTTTGTTCACAGATAGATGACGCCGTACGCGAACGAGTTTTTTTGGCTACCAGCCACATGCTCCTGTGTTACCTTTTATAAAAGACGACGGAGCGCTCAGTGCTGGTGCCAAAGGGTTAGTGGCTCTGGACCATTAAGGGGGGACATGGGTCTTTAAATTTTTTTTTCTGTTTTTGGCTCAATCTTGACCAAACCTCACCATCTTGGACAGTTTTTCATGCTGATTTCAAATATGTAATTGTTTCTGAAATAGCTTCAGTGGATAAAAAGATATTAACATCTGTAGTTTAATTAATTATGCACTTCATTGGGGGCTTTTTGGCAACTTAATCAAGCCAGATCCAAAAAATAAATGCATAGCCCCAATGCTCAGGGCTTTCTGTATGGGGTGATGCTATTTTTAATTTTTAGGCATTATATAGATAAGAAAACAGACCAGCACTTACAATGGATATTCTGTTCAATTTTCGCTCATTACTATCCATAATTGTAATTAACAGTATGCTTCCAGAGTAATAAAAATAGCATCACCCCATAGGTAATGTTATTACAAATAAAATGATACCAAGTTTGTCATTCTCAATCAACAGTAACATATAAGAAAAACCCCTAAGGTTTAGTGTGGTGCACAAAAACATCGAACTGAGAAAAACGCATTTAAAGTTTCTAATAACTGTAACTTTTGCTAAAGTGAAGCTAGAGCAATAAAAATGGCACCGTTGTATAGCTCTACATTATGTGAGTATGGCTGTACCAAATGTGTCAATGCACCTTCCCAAAATATTTGCCACAGCTCATTTAAAAACTGTGTACTGGCCGTTGAATCAGTATAAGGAACCCAGTCTACAACTTTGTGGCTGTCCTAGTGCACTAAAAACCAAAGGAAGACACATGTTATATATAAAAACATCGCCCTTTATACACTATTTCAAGTAAAACACACATTTTTGTCCCAGACATCCTTACAATTCTTTTAGCATGCCAGGGCTGTATGCAGCTGGGCCGAATAGAGTGCACCGCTTCGGCAGGCACTCGCGCCAGCGAATCGTCGTCTGAATGTGCTGCCTCGGCAATAACAGGCACTTGCGCCGGCGAGTCGTCGTCTGAATGTGCTGCCTCCGCAATAACAGGCATTTCCAACAGCCCGTTGTCGGCAGAATGCGCTGCCTCAACCATCTCCGGCGTTCTCGGCGGCGCGCAGGCCGCTCCCTTCTGCCGCGCATTCCACGCTCGCTTTTGTTTCCTGCCGAAAGCTTGACGAGTGTTCTTCAGGCGAGCTTCCTAAGCCATGCCGGCGAAATGCAGAAAGACGTATACGTCGGCGACGTCGGTACACGAGCGGGTAGCAGACGAGATAACACTCACGAGAGCAGGCGCCGACAGAGCAAAACCAAAAAAAAAAAAAAAAAGCGAGCAACCATGGCGGCCGGCCGGCCGGGGGGGGGGGGGGGGGGGGGGGGGGGGCTCGCCGGCGCGCGCGCCCGCTCTAGCCAATCAGCGGTCCGGCAGACGGCTTCGCAAAACGGGGGAGGCTGTCGTTGTGTTGGAGCTACGCCATTTTGAGAGCCCGCAAAACGCGTTGTAACCAGCTTCAAAACAAGCCCAAGATGGCGCCGATCTGCCGGCTGCTTTGCTGGCGGCGCGCGCGGGAAGTTCGAACAAATTTTCTGTTTTGCGACTCCCGTGATGGTTTGAAAATAGATTTTAACCTATTTTTTTTTATCGAATTTAGAGTTAATAATTTGAGGAGAGGTGCTTATAGGTTCAAAGATTCGAAAAATGCGTTTTTCTCAAAATCGATTTTTTGGCCATTTTTTACTTTTCTAAGACCCGCGTCCCCCCTTAAAAAAAAGGGGGGGGGGGCAGGGAAATGCCATTTCACTGCGTGCATAGTTCGTGTTTTTGACTACCAACAAAGTACGAAATCCTTGTGAAATTGGTAGGGATCAGAGGTTCTTTCGTAGCCTTTTCAGGCATAGTCTGTGCAATTTGAAAGACTGACCATGCAATGTAGCCCATGCAACTTTCCCCACTCACTTGCTGACATGGAGTTCTTGAGCACAGATGTTGTTGCCGTGGCACCGGCTAACGAGGAGGCTGTAGTTGCTAGCGTCGACGCTGGCCCAGGTGGCATCCCCGCTGCGGTGGCGGGAACATGAGCGTTCTCGTAGGTGTGCTGTCCAAAAGTAGAGAACGAAATTATGCTGATCACAAAGGAGTCTCACTTATCAGCAGCGCTAAAACATTACACGAAGAAGACTTCCCAAAAATATAAAAATGCAAAACTCCTGGACAAATTTCAAACTTACATTCGTGAAAAAAAAAAAAAAAAAAAACCCTATCAACACCAGTGCTACAACCTTTCAACAGAGCTACGCTGATAGCAAAATTTCATCATCATCATCATCAGCCTGACTACGTCCACTGCAGGACAAAGGCCTCTCCCATGTTCCGCCAGTTAACCCGGTCCTGTGCTTGCTGCTGCCAATTTATACCCGCAAACTTCTTAATCTCATCTGCCCACCTAACCTTCTGTCTCCCCCTAACCCGCTTCCCTTCTCTGGGAATCCAGTCAGTTACCCTTAATGACCAGCGGTTATCCTGTCTACGCGCTACATGCCCTGCCCATGTCCATTTCTTCATCTTGATTTCAGCTATGATATCCTTAACCCCCGTTTGTTCCCTAATCCACTCTGCTCTCTTCTTGTCTCTTAAGGTTACACCTACCATTTTTCTTTCCATTGCTCGCTGCGTCGTCCTCAATTTAAGCTGAACCCTCTTTGTAAGTCTCCAGGTTTCTGCTCCGTAGCTAAGTACCGGCAAGATACAGCTGTTATATACCTTCCTCTTGAGGGATAGTGGCAATCTACCTGTCATAATTTGAGAGTGCTTGCCGAATGTGCTCCACCCCATTCTTATTCTTCTAGTTACTTCAATCTCGTGGTTCGGCTCTGCGGTTATTACCTGCCCTAAGTAGACATAGTCTTTTACAACTTCAAGTGCACTATTACCTATCTCGAAGCGCTGCTCCTTGCCGAGGTTGTTGTACATTACTTTCGTTTTCTGCAGATTAATTTTAAGACCCACCTTTCTGCTCTCCTTGTCTAACTCCGTAATCATGAGTTGCAATTCGTCCCCCGAGTTACTCAGCAATGCAATGTCATCGGCGAAGCGCAGGTTACTAAGGTATTCTCCATTGACTCTTATCCCTAACTGCTCCCATTCTAGGCTTCTGAAAACCTCGTGTAAGCACGCGGTAAATAGCATTGGGGAAATGGTGTCCCCCTGCCTTACACCCTTCTTGATTGGTATTCTGTTGCTTTCTTTATGAAGCACTATGGTAGCAGTTGATCCCCTGTAGATTTCTTCCAGAATGTTTATATATACTTCATCTACGCCCTGATTCCGCAGTGTTTGCATGACGGCTGATATTTCTACTGAATCAAACGCCTTCTCGTAATCTATGAAGGCTATGTATAGTGGTTGGTTATACTCTGAGCATTTCTCTATTACCTGATTGATAGTATGAATGTGGTCAATTGTTGAGTAGCCTGTTCGAAATCCTGCTTGTTCCTTTGGTTGATTGAATTCTAATGTTTTCTTTACTCTGTTAGCAATTACCTTTGTAAACAGCTTGTATACTACAGAGAGCAAGCTGATCGGCCTGTAATTCTTCAAGTCCTTGTCATCTCCTTTCTTATGTATTAAGATGATGTTAGCGTTCTTCCAAGACTCTGGTACTCTTCCCGTCAGGAGACACCTCGTAAAAAGGTGTCTCCTGACGGGGTGTCTTTACGAGGTGTCTCCTGACGGGAAGAGTACCAGAGCAAAATCTGAATCGCATCAAAAAAAGTCTTAATCGCATCACAAAAGCTTACTGACAGCACTCCATATGACCGTGGGGTGCGCGGCCGCGTGGACGGTGCAGCCAGCGCATAATGCACTTGCCGGCGACGTTCGATGACGATGCACGAAATGTGTAACTACGAAGACAAAAATCGGCACGCACTGTACTTGGCATCGCATTTTCGAATGCGACGCGCGAAACTGCTAGCAGCTGTTCCGAGCGATCCTTGGCAGTGAAGGGGTGTGTGTGTGTGTGTGACGAGCTTGATTGTGTTGTCCGCTGCCGATGCGTAAAATGCCCGTACGTGATTCAGATGAGCTAGCGAGTGATGTGGTACATTCCTTGCAAAGAAGCACGTCGCCAAGAGTGCACTTGCGCATCGTTCCTCCCCGCAGTCTCGCTGTCAGCGGAGTTAGGCCTAAAGCCGACTCCGATGACGCGCCGCACTCGTAGACCGCCGCGCGCCGCTCGTAGTACCGTATTTACTCGATTCTACCGCGCCCTCGATTGTAACGCGCACCTGACTTCTACCGTGAAAAAAAAAAAAAAAAAAAAAAAAGTAAGACATTCATTGCAACGCGCACCCATTTTTCTCGCTGGCCCGCATGATCACACCACTTGAAAAAACGACTCCTTTCGGGAGCGTCTTTCATTTAAGGGGAGACACGGGTCTTTTAGAGCAAAAAATTGCCAAAAAATCAATTTTTCAAAATATTTTTTTTTTGAAATCTCGACGTCCAAAAGAATCTATTGCCGGAATATTAACGCGTTCGATTAGTATTTATTTTGTTATTGCGTTCTAAGGAGACTTTCATGATCACTCTCGCTCGAAAACGCGCCCCCAAAACGGGCAATTTCAATGCCGTCGTCTGCGAAAACCGTTAGCCGCAGCACGGCCATTTTGGAATCATTTGAAAGCTAAATTCTTCAGCAATCCGGTTTTAGCGAGGAAAACAACTCTAAGTCTGGCGACTATGGAGCTACACGCCACCGAAAAGGAGGGAACACTTGCACGGCATTGGCGCGTTTATACCACGTGGGGCAAATCCTGCTCTACGATTGGACGACCGAAAATTTCGTCTGCCCGACTGTGTGCAACAATGCGCGACTCCTTGTCACAAATTGTTCGGACGCGACGATGGCTGGCGGGCGACGCAAATTCGCGACAGCTCATGCCTACGGCAAAAAACACAAGCGTCGGTCTCGGATACCTGAAGCAGCGTCGGGTGAATCGACGGCGACGAGCTCCGCGACATGCGCCAGCGAGTGTAAGATATCTACCGAAGCTGCAGCCGCGCAAGCGATGCCTGTGGCCGACGACACGAGGACAACGCGTGTCGATACGCATTTTGTGACAGAAGCGGGAAAAAGTGGCAATTGAGCATCGCGCGGAAGAGCAACGACAGAAGCTGTCTTCGTTATCAGCTACCCGCCGAAAGCGGTCGCTTATCGGAGATTCCCCGGAAGCGGGGGGGTCCGGCACCGAGTTTACGCTGCTAAGCCTACCGCTGCTGAACCAACTGCTTCGGTGCGCGAAATGCGAATTCTGCTCTGGCCCATTGAACGTTTCACGGGGCGACCGTAAGTACGGATTGGCAGTTAGAATAGTGGTGAACTGTGCCGTCTGCGGAGATGTCAGCGCCGGATGGAGCTCGCCGAGAGCAGGGGGGAATGCGACCTGCAACCCTTTCGAAGTGAATGTGCTTGCGGCTCGTGCAGTTATGAGCACGGGCAATGGGCAGACCGTGCTAAACGACATTTTTTCGGCCCTGAATGTGTCTCGTCGTGGAATGCACAATAAAACGTACCAAGACTACGTCAAAACCAAGATGAACCCTGCCGCGATGAACGCATCCGCGGTTATTATGAGCGAGTGCGCAACAGCTGTGAAGGCCATCTATTCTGAAGTGAATTTCGGGAACCCCGGCAATATCGCAGTTTCCTATGACGGGACTTGGCTCACTCGTGGCCACTTGTCACACATTTGTGTGGGAACTGTAATAGAACTGTTTTCGGGCTATGTGTTGGACTTTAAAGTTCTCTCGAACTTCTGTTTGGGTTGCGAGATTGGCCCCAAAGACGACGACCCTCGATGCAGTGAGTGGCGAGCTCGGCACAAGTGCCAAAAAAACTCTTCGAGCAAGCCTGGCCAGATGGAGGTGGAGGCTGCCAAAATTCTGTTTCGCCGGTCCCTCGAAAAGCATGGATTCCGCTACACAACGATGTTGTGCGATGGCGATAGCCGCGCTTTCAACAGCCTTCAGGAGGAGCAAGTTTATGGCTTCGTGGCTATCGAAAAGGAGGATTGCGTAAATCATATACATAAAAGGATGGGTGCTGCACTGAGACACCTCCTGCAGAAGAGCAAGGGGGAAGGTCGGCCAAGCCTAAGTGGCAAAGGAAAGCTCACTGCTGAGCTTGTAACGAAGCTTACAAATTATTATGGTTGGGCACTCAAGGCACACCAGGGAAACATCGATGAGATGGAGAATGCTGTCCTTGCCACTTACTATCATGTGACTTCTACTGATGCAAAGCCACAACATTCACGGTGCCCAAAGGGAGAAGACTCATGGTGTGCCCACAACAAGGCAGTGGCAAGGCAGCAGGCTCCTCCTAAGCATCGGTACAACCTCCCGGAATATGTTGCAGAAGCGCTCCTTCCAGTGTACACTCGCCTCTCAGATCGAAAGCTGTTGGAGCGCTGCCAAAAAGGCAAAACTCAAAACTCGAATGAGAGCCTCCATTCAGTGATCTGGTCGCTTGTACCGAAAACCAAGCACGCCTCGCTCTTCACAGTCGAAACTGCTGTTGCGGAAGCGGTTGCTCGGTTCAATGCTGGAAAGAAACGTGCTTCTGAGGCCATTTTGAAGGAGCTGCATTTGAACCAAGGCAACACAGATGTTCAAAGATGTCTGGAAAAGGACCAGCAGCGGCTAGCGGCATGTGACAAAAAGCATACCAGAGCAGAAGACTTCAAGAATGCCATGAAGAAGAGGCGTGTGAAAGAGAGTGATGGTGATTATGAGCCTGGTGGCTTCTAGAGCAAAAAGGGCTCCCATCTGTTGCTTTTTTGGCAAGAATTAGACCTATATATAGTCTTCAAACTTCTTTTTGTGTTTTCTCAAAATCAGTTTTTTGCCTATGTGCTATACTGTTGCCCACAGTATCTTTTGATCTAGTGATCAGATTTCAACGATTCTTGTTGCAATTGACAGCTTACGAGTTCCTATACACAATAAGACTACTAAAATTTATATTTAGTCAAGAGAAAATTTTTTATGCGCTGGTAAATCTCATGAAAATTCCCATGTTCCCAACCATTATAT